TTATCTTTACAGAAAGATATCTAAGCAGATTTTAAATATACAAAACTAATACCTTATGATTAATTAGCTGAGATATCCCTAGACAGTGTGAGCAGAACAATAATAAGCAACACCTGCAAATTAAATAAAAGGTTCAGTTCAAATTCTCTGATTGTTATCTAGATTGATAGACACTGAAGAAGGCTAGAGAGTACAAGAGCCGAAATGTTTCAATAACAACAACAAAAATGAGAATAATAGTCAGCATGTAAATAACATAAACAAATTCTTTTTTCCCCAATCCTAATACTTGACTACAGTACAATGTTTAAAATTTTCAATCACTGATTTTATATATATATATATATATATATATGATTAATACAAATGAAATTTGTCACTTAACTGATTATATTCAACACCTCAACTTCTGAAGTTTTGTAGATAAACATTTTTGTAACCGTTCTAGCAATTTGTTAGGAGATATATGTTTTTGCTTGTTCGCTCACTTTTTGGAATAGTTCCAAAGATAAGCATTTTTGTAATCATTCTGTCCACTTGTAGGGATACATATATATATATATATATATATATATATCCAGGTAAAATGAGAACAAATGGAGTATGATTCCACTGTATATAACATTTTAAAAAAAAGAGGGATCAATACATAATAGAGCTAAATATTATTTATTTTAGGATATTATAACATGATAAAAATCACTACACAATTGCAAGTATGTTTCAACACCATAAATGTGTCTCCTCAGGTGATATTAAACTACTAGTGAGTGAAAGATTAAATAAGAAATTAATCTTTCATTCTCCAATAGTTTAACATTGCCTTAGGAGACACATTTATGGTGTCAAAACATAATTGTAATTGTGTAGTGATTTTTAATGTTTTAAAATCCTAAAATAAATAATATATATATATATATATATATATATATATATATCTTTGATTGTTCTCCCACATTTTAATGTCGGAAGGATAATTTGGTGATCTTGTTCAATTATCATTGTTATTATAATTTTCCTTTTCCTTGTCTCTGTTCCATTGACATTTAGTGTGTGTGTCTGTTTTCTGAGAGTCTTAGTGAATTCTATCTCCATCACTTCTTTTTAGTGACTTTAGGCGACTCTCCTTTAGTGTGTCATGCAAACCTTGTATATGGAAACCAACTTGTCACTAATCATATATTGGTACAATTTAACTATTAATTTACTTTAAGGGTCTACTTCATTCTAGAAAGGACATGGCCAACTAGCTACTTGACTGAATTCTGAAAGCCTACTTCTCAAAAACCATTCTTTCAATAAGAATACCAGTGAAATAAACCACAGAACCCATTGGCTTGGCTTGAACCCACACCAATCCAATGGATAAGTCTTTATGTAAACAACTTAATTACAAAGTTTTTTAGAGATAATTGTTTACTTCAGCCAAGTAATTATTTTATTGCTTGTTATCATTTTTACCGAACTGGTTATGGTCCTGTACCTACTAAGTTATCTCCTAGTTAATATTCAGGCTTGAGTACTTAAGGACCCTGCCATCCATCAAACTTCTCAAAATGAATTAACATTTGTAATTTGTTCTTTCATATTTAATGCCAATAATCAATCAAGCCTTCACATTTTCCCAAGTTCCACAGCATAAAACAGGGCATTTCTAATCTAAATCTCTTTGTTAATCACTATCAAGCCTACTTGAGGATCTACTCACCCCCACACTCACCACCACTTACATGGAAAAATTAAGTAAGCTCAAATTAATTTTGCATAAACATGGCTCTCCACAATTTCCTGTTTGTAGCTTTTAAATAATTTTGCCTTTTTGTTATCACTCCTAAACACCATTCTGCGATCCATTTACACAAACTCATTCTTCTACTTCTATATGCCATGTCCGTTCAGGATGTTGGCGATCATGGCTCTCCACAATTTCCTGTACTTTGTAGCTCTTAATAAATTTTGTCTTTTTATTATCTCTTCTAAACTTTGTTTCATTCATCCATTTACTTCTCTTGCAATATGCGGTGAGTATAAATTTTTCTAAGCCTACTTTCCTCATCATGTGCCCTAGAAACCTCATCTGTCTCTTCCTGATGATAAGTATCAGTGACCATTGTCTCTAGAACTTTGTCATTGCTCACATGTTCAGTCCATAGTATTCTCAGCATCCTTCTGTAGAACCACATTTCTGTTGTCTCAAGTCTCTTCTTCATCTATGAGAAGATTGTCAAACATTCACTGTCACATAAGAGGACAGATATTACGTAAGAATTCAGGAATCTTTTCTTTGTTTCTAATAAAAAAAATTTCTGTATCTTGATACTTTGCTTAGCTTTTGGAAGACATGTTTATTTCCTATTTTTTGTAAAATATCCTCATTGCTCACATTCTATTCTTGGCATCCTTCTATAGAACCACATTTCTTTTAATCCAACTCTCTTCTTCATTTGTGAGGAGATTGTCCAGCATTCACTGCCATATAGGACTGATATTACATAACAGTTCAGTACATTTTTCTTTATTTCTAATGAAATTTTCCTGTTTCTTAATACTTTGCTTAGCTTTTGTAAAGCATTTTTCGCTATCTCAATACACCTTCAGATTTCAGTATTGCACTTTTGATCCTCTGTTAAAATAACTCCCAGATATTTAAATTGTTCTACTTGTTTGATTTTGATATATTGGGCTGTTCCTTTTGCTAGCAACCAGTATTTTTTTTTTTTTTTTTACTGGACTGAAAAACATCATCTACTTTTAGAGGAAAAGATTTGTATTTCAATTTTTCTGTAAACTGTTAAAGCAACAAAATATAATTTAGGGAAATAAAATTCATCACACTTATTTATTCCTTTTCAAATTTATCTATATTTCTCCTCCTGTTAAAAGTTTTCAAAATAAAATTAAACAGAAACTTATCTACATTATAACTGATTAGTATAGTATTTGTATTCAGTTTTGTTTCTGCTGCTTTAAGTCTCTTCTTCATCTGTGAGGAGATTGTCAAGTATTCACTACCATATAGGAGGACTGATATTACATAATAATTCAGTACTCTTTTCTTTGTTTCTGTTGCTTCAAATAAAATTCATCACTTATTTATTCATTTCAACTTTATCTATAGTTCTCCTCCTGTTAAAAGTTTTCAAATTAAAATTAAACAGAAACTTATCTATATTATATCTGATTGGTATAGTATTAGTATTCAGTTTGTTTAGCTATAAAAATGGAACACCTAGCACAGCTGTTTAAAAGCCTTGTTTTTGTCATATAGGAAAATCCAACATGGTGGGTAAACAAAATATTCGGCAAAAAATCTCATTTGTCAGTAACATTTTAAAAACCTCATAGAATGTAAAGTTCTTAAAGCAAACCTATGCCAAACACTTTTCCTGAATCTTGGCTGTCCAAAAATGACAATATCAAGATGAAATAATGGAAACTGACCATGAAAAACACAATTATGCGCACAAAGTTTTTAATCAATCAGTAAACTTCTGGACCTTTTCGGGCAACGTTATAGGATCCAGATGGCCATTGTTTGTACATGGAATTATTCATTGGTAATTAATCTTTGACTTGGCTGTGGAAAATGTCACTCAGCGGTTAGCAATAGAAATTATGCCCAATTTTTTGAGAAAAATCACCATTTTTTTTATGAAAAAATATTTATTTTCCCTTTAAAATAATGTCATTCAAACTTCATCCGTTTCTCCTTAATTTGCTGTGAACATTATTGAATAAAAGGAACGGCTAAATGGCGGTGAAAAAGCAATGTGTTGTTGTCATCACCTGGGTCATGGGGTGTTAAAAACAAAAAACATCAAGCCATTGTTCAAATATAGGTTATATCAAGCCCTACCAATGTTGACCCTTTTTTTCCACTCTTTGCTCTTATCCGAGAGTGGTGGGTTTTATTACAACTTGTTCTAAACATTTATTGCTGGCTGGATAATCTTTGACCTAGAGATGTCAAAGTCAATTTGGTTTAATTTTCCTTATTGCTGCTATTTTTTGGGAAAAAAAAATTAGTTTCTAGTGGTCAGAAATCTTTCACCTTTTACTAAAGGTTTCTATGGCTGGGTGTCAATTTTTTTTAACCTCTGTCAGTCATATAATTGAAAATTACCAATGGACTTTGTCGCATTTTGACCCCCTAGAATGTTGATTTCCTTCAAAACTCTCAATTTTATGCCTGAAATAGTTTGATTATGATTTAGGCTTTCTGATTTTCAAAAAAAAAAATGGTTAATTTCCCATTAATGGGGAAAACTTTTGTTTAGAACTCAAAAAAATTTTCACTATTTTTTCACATTTTACCCACTGAAAAAATTTTGAGTCATTTACCCCAGCCAATTTTACTTTTAAATGAAAGAATATATCCTTTGCTTTCAGAAAATACCTAGTTTCATGGGGTTCAGATCAAAAGTTTCCTTGATATTTGTTTAGATGATGATAAAACAGTCATTTTTCAATATTTTACCCCGATAAAAGTATGAAAATCCATTTTTTGAGAGAAAATAAGCTGTGAAAAAATGACTTTTGCCATTTTTGTGATGATTTTTACTTTGGATAGAAAATTTTTACCATAGCAAACCTGAATTGACTTTATTTAAGTTCAGTGGGGCTATAGGAAACCTCAAAGAGCTGTGCTAGAGAGAATCAAATTTATTACACAACAGTAAGAATCTGTAGTGTGTACTCAATGTATTTACCAAGATGAGCCTAATAATAAATAAATAATACACTGATGTAGTTGTAGGCTGACTGCAGTCAGTTGAGTTTAATAACAAGAACAGAGGAATGGGTTTCTTCTGAATGTCAAAGAATTTTGAATGCAAACGAAATAGAGTTAAGAGTTCCTGTTTAATTAGTGACTTTTCTTGCTTTGTATAAAATCTTGTAATGTCAGATAGTTTAACTAATTAGTGAAGCTTGTCAGAAAAAAGACCAAAACAAACTGATTTAATCAAAAAAATAAAATAACAAGAACAAATGGCGCTTACCAATTTCTCCGTAAACAACCAGTCGCAAGACATCATTGGGAACCTAAAAAGAAAGAAATATTTTTTGTTTAATCATTTCATCTCAAGCAAATTGATAATGCCATTAAAATGCAAGGGGCTTCTGGGAGTGAAAGAGAATGAAAAGTCACTAGAAACTGAAACCTAAAGTAAGAAACAAGGGATAAACCCCTACTTCTGTTTGAAAGACAAGGAAGGAGTATAAACCAGGCAATAAGTGAACCTATCTACCCCAGAAAGAATTTAAGTTGAAATAACCAAATTTTTTTTCTTACTTTGTAAAAACAACTGCAAACTGAAGCCGATTAATGAGATATTTTTTGGTTGATGATCTTATAAACAGAAAAAAAATCAAATTATTCATTCATTATAGGAATTTATTTGCAAATTTCAAAATCTATGTTATGGTATCAGTTCAAATTTTGAAAAGTAAAACTAAAATTTTTTTTTCTTAATCATTTCACCCCAAGAAAGGCAATAAAGCCACTAAGACACAAGAGGTTAGTGAATGTTAAAGAATATGATAAAAACTACTATTAAGGAGAAAAGAATAAAAGAACAAGAATTAAGAAAACAGAAGATAACGATTGACATTGCATTTAAATTTTTAAAGATCAAAGTTGACTGGAAAGCAAGAAGCCAGAAGAGAGTTCCACAAGTGAGAAGTACGAGAGAAGAAACTATTAGAATAGAACTACTAGATGGCTATAAATTTCTAATGGTTCCAGTTTTTCATTAAAATTAATCCTGTATAGCAGGCCAATGCCCAAGTGGACAAATTTTAAGATAACACTGAACCCATTCCAAAGGGTTTCTACACTCACACAGAAAAATCAGTTACTTTCCTTTCTTTTACAGGGAATCTGCCATAGATCACAATGTCATGTAAGATTTCCAACTTCTCTATTAACCCATCAATGTCCACTATCCTAAAAATGGAATGATGGGCATTTATGGGTTAGAGCAAGGTTTTTCAAACTGTGGGTCCTGATGCTTCAGTGGATCATAAAATAAAAAAATGGGCCACAACAAAAAAGAAAGAAAAAATAAAAAATATGCAAGTGAAAGCAAAGTGCAGAATATAAACCACTCTAAATGTTGCACAGCACTCATAAATCATTGCTAGTTTTTCACTGAGGTAAGATCATATTATATTTAATTCTTTTTTAAATATATATATATAGCCTTCCCTGACGATCCGCATGTTGAAACCTTGGTAGGTTTGTCTGGCTCTTTAGGTTTAATTATATATATATATATATATATATATATATATATATATATATTTTTAAAAATTAAAAAAAGGACCAATAACATTGCAGATTCTTCTTTGGATTTTATCACGAATCTCTAAATATATAGAAGAAGCACAAGACCAGGTTTGATAGCAATATTCAAAGCAAGAATGAATAGTACACTTATAAATATGTAGAATGACAGTGTACCAACTTTCCTAGCAATAGAGCTACCAATTGATTGAATATATATAAAAATCATTAAAACAGCTGTTTTCATAAGAACATACCATGTGTCCATATGAACCTAACTTGTGATAATAATATGCTTACATTATCATGTGAATCTATCTAGGTCAGGGTTTTTCAAACTGTGGGTCCTGATGCTTCAGTGGATCACAAAATAAAAAAATGGGCCACAACAAAAAAGAAAGAAAAAATAAAAAATATGCAAGTGAAAGCAAAGTGCAGAATATAAACCACTCTAAATGTTGCACAGCACTCATAAATCATTGCTAGTTTTTCACTGAGGTAAGCGTGTATTATATTCTATTCTCTTTTAAATATATATATATATATATATATATATATATATATGATAAAAGTGAGAAAAGTGTGTATATAAATATAAATAAATATATATATATGTATAATTATTTATATATTATATGCGCGGTACTTATTAGAAAGCGCTCAATATCAGAGATAGAGCTAACATATTTGGTTGGATAGATGTGAATTTGTGACCCTGGGTTTCATGCTTTAGCGATTGTCTTTGTCTGATGATCAAAGAGAGAGGATAATGATCCTGATGCTTGGATGTGAGCAGGTGCTGATGACGATATAGGACTAAGAATGAAAATTGCTCAAGGCCCTTCAGTATTTCCCTTTTGGGGTTGCATCACATACCAGGGATTAACCTTAATCCCTTTTGGATAGAGTGATACTGGCTATTATACTACATTTTAACACCCACCCAAAATACGGTAACAGTTACTAATGATAAAAATCATATCACTAACCCCCAAAAGGAGGATTAATGTAACGTTTTAAGGAATATCCTCAGTGAAATTCAATCGCAACAGATGCCAAAAATATGGTGGAAAATTAATAATAAAATTAAGTGAGTCAGGTCTTTCTGCTATGTATCTAGAGATTCTTGACAAAATCCAAAGAAGAATCTGCAATATTATTGGTCCTGATCTGGTATCTAAGCTTCAGTCACATTCCTCCTACTATAGTTTATCCTCACTGAAACTTTTCTACAAATATTTTCATGGGAAATGTTCCAATGAGTTTTCCGCTTGGTTGCTCGACTTCACAAATTTAAGTGCAGTACTAGATTGGTAGCTAGGTCTCATCATTTTACAGCTGAAACTGATAGATGCAACCAGAAGTTTTATGCTAACAATTTTTTCTCACTCACTTCTCAATTGTGAAACTCTTCCAGCTTATTCCTTTTCAATCAACTTTGATCTTCAAAAATTGAAATGTTAATCGTCAGTTTCTATCTCCTTAATTTCTGTTCTTTTGCTACTCTTCTTCCTCAAGGTTCTTTCACAGTAACCCCTTGCATCTCAGTGGCTTTATCACCTTGCTTGGGGTGAAATTATTAAAAAAAATGTTGTATAAGTCAAAAAACCTTATATGTTTTTTATTATATTAATGCTATATTGTAAGAATTTATTAATCAGAAATGCACAAAATTCACAAAAAAAAGGTAAAGAGTTGTCTAAAAATACTAGCATATTGTCAGTAAAAATATATATACTTACACTATCGAATTCATTTCCAACAATAGCTTTATGAAAATCAGTATGTCGATTGTAAAGCTGCAAAATTAAAAAATATAAATTAATTGTTTACATGAAAAAAAAAAAAAGATGAAAGATGTTTCTACAGAGATAAAAGAATCATTTTTTTTCAAATTGTCTTTTTATATTACTATCAACAAAGCTCTCCAGATCATGAATATCCCAAGCCCACCACACCACCCCACCCTAGCTCCAAAAAATATTTTTGAATTTTCTAAATTTTACAAAGGGGATTCAGTGTGCTATGTAAATTCATTGTAACTTGATCTCCCTTCAGAGGCCAAAAAACTAAAAGTTAAATATTGATTGATTTGTTTTTTATGGCTTGTCAACTCTTTTGCAGGTTATTTAAAGCCAGAAAATATTTTTAGATTACAAGAATTTTTGAAGATAATAATAATTTTTGCTGAGACAAGTTCTACTAATTAACCCAAACTTACAGTCACATCAAGTTGAAATACCGATTCCTGTTTGATCACCAAAATTAAGCAATGTTGAACCTGGTCAGTACCTAGATGGGTGACTACTTGGAAATACTGCTGTAAGCTTGAATGAGCAAGTGATGTAATGGATAATGGCTTGGGATTGTTAATTGGCGATCCAAGTTCCAATTCCCATTGGGTTCATTATGTTTACTTACTTGCAATACCCTTGTGAAAGGTATGACTACAGCTCTTCATCCCCAGCTATGGATTAAATTGAGGACTTGTATGAAAAAAATCATTATTATCACCAAAAAAATTCTTACCATCCAAATATATGTTTCAACTTTAAATAACCTAAAAAAAGATTGATAAGCCATAAAAAACATATCAATGAAGCAATCCTACTAATTAACCCATAGCTGTGGGGAGAAGAGATGGATTTCTACTTTTCCTAAGGGTATTTACAAATAAATGAATATAATGAACCAATTTGAAACTGGAATCTAATTTCCAATTCTGAGCCATTATCCATTACACCACCTGCACATCTAAGCTTACAGCACCTGGCATTTCCATACAGTCACCAATCTTGCTACTGACCAAGCTCAACATTGCTTAACTTCGGTGATCATAGAGAGAACCAGTCTTTCAATGTGATATGCCTTAAAAGGTAAGTACAAAATAATAATAATAATAATAATAATAGAGGTTTGACTTGGTTGATTTTGTTCAGTGGCATATCAACCTCTATGGGTTAAATCTAAATATTTTGCACACAATTTTAAGGCTTTATCTACAAAAATTATCTACAGAGATTTTGTTGATAATTATATATTTTCAAGTTAAATGTATGTTTTTAGATATATAGTTTGTAGATGATAAAATGTACTGTTGAGAATTTTAATATAAAAATGTATTTTTATACTTTTTTAGTGTTGTATTGTTCATCATTTTATTATAAAAATATATTGTTGGTCATTTTGCTATTAAAATGTATTGTTGGTAATTCTAATATATGTAATGTTAGCCATCTTCTTATAAAAATGTATCACTGGTCATTTTGTTTTAAAAATGTATTACTGGTCATTTTATTATAAAAATGTATCACTGGTCATTTCATTATAAAAATGTATTACTGGTCATTTCATTATAAAAATGTACTGTTGGTCTTTTTACTATGTAAATGTGCTGTTGGTAATTTTTCTTTAATAAAAATGTATTGCTGTTAATTTCACTACAAAAATGTAAATATATATAAACACAGCAATAAAAGCTTCACTAAACATTAGCCTTATTGGTCAAGAGCTAACAAAATCTGGTATATGCAAATACATTGGTCAAGGAAAATTGGATGGTATATATTAATATTCTGGCATTTACTTATATCAATGTGGCTTTCATTAGTAAATGAGGAAGAGTTTTATGTTAGGAAGCAGCTTATATGGGTAGGAGGGGAAGATAACAATTAACCTTAGACTTGAACCAGATTGTAGTGATCTGGGAAACATCTGCTTGGGAGTCTGTTCCACAGATCAGTAGTTTGCAGGAAGAAGCTGTTCAAGTGGAACTTATTTCTCACCTATGCAATAAGGAGGGAATTTAGGTGGTTTGCTACAATGTAAGTAGCATGATGGGTCCTTGCTGTGAAAGTCAGAATTGACAGGACCAGGGAATGTCAGTTAGTCTGAGCACTTTCTGTGGCAGAATTGCCAAAGTTTGCAATAAGCAATAACAAGAAAAAAAACAAGAAAACAAGAGGTCAAAAAATAATATAAAGCAAGCAAACAATATATGCAAGGCAAATTAACAGTAATAAGGCAAAAAATTCACAAATAAAAGAATTGGGTTGACACACAAAAGCAAGTTCCGATGAGCAAACATAGCATTTTGACTTCAAGACAGACTGGGACTGTGCCAGATGAAATCAAGAACTGGCTTATTTTATTGGCTAGTAAAAAAAAGAAACAGCATGAATTTATCTGCTTTTACCTATAAACTGGGAAGAGGCATGCGTTTTGCAGTCATTCCCTACTTTGATTGAGAACAGAAGATAGCATTTACTAAAAATGCAAACAAAATAAAAAGAAAATGTAAATTATTGAGATAACAAGATTATAAGATGAAGAGTGAATAAAACAAAGTTATTTGATGAAGAAAATTAGAGTCAAAAAACAAAATGAAAAACCTCATGATGCATTTTCTGTTCCTGGTCTTGTTCTTGGCTACAAAGAGAAAACAAAAATAACATCATTATTACATATTAAAACTTGATAAAATATAATATATATTTACACCATTTACATTGTTCAGACTGTTGTCTTCATCTTTATTTTCATATTTCATGACGTTTCAGCCATTGTACACTCTGGGCTTCTTCAGGTGATATACATTGAAATTTTAAAACAAACACTTTATTAGTCCACCTGAAGAAGGCCAGAGCATACAATATCCAAAATGTTGTGAATATGACAATAAAGATGAAAACAACAGTACAGTCCGAACAATGTAAATAGTATAGTTACAAAACCTTGTCTCAGAAATACAGACAGATATATATATATATATATATATATATATATATATATATATATATATATATGCCAGAGTAAACAAACAGTAAAATATTTGTTAAGATTGTACGCATTAAAAGTTCTCAATAGTGCACAGTAGTGTTCTGGTCAGCAGTCATATTTTTTAAAATATATATATTTTTACTAAATTTCACCCAATACAAGGCTCGAGAGCCAATCAGGATAGAGGGCTACTATTAAAATGGTAATGATGAGATATATGATATGATTAAAACAGAAAGTGGTAGGAACTGAACATTATGGGGATAAGGAGGACAGATAATACTCGACTCTTGACTTGAAGATGTGTAATGTTCAAGGAAGCACCCACACAAGAGTCTGTTCCACAAAGTGGTAGTTCTTGGAAAAAAGCTGCTTGAGTGGAAGTTTCTCCTTACATTTGGAATACGGATGAAATTTGACTCCATGTTGTGTCCTCTCTGTGAAAGACTGAATTTGTAAAACTAACGAATGGAACGCTCATCTGAACATTTGCCAAGGAAATAGCGATAGAGTAGCAGTAGGCTTGCAACATTGTATTTGTAGGAAAGAGGTTTTGAGCTGAAAATAAAGTCATCGCCAACAAGACCGCATTAATGATTTTGAAATCTATCAAGGCTGGAAAGTGATTTTTTTTAGCAGCTCCAGCCCAGACATTTTTTTTTTTTTTTTTTTTTTTTTAAGCATTTCACCCCAAGCAAGGCGGGGAGCCACTAGGACGCAAGGGGTTACAGAAAATAGGAAGATCAGATAGGAGTGATAGAAGAAAGGATGAGGGTAGTAGATAGATTAAGGCAACTGGAGATGTCGATTGACATTACACTTGAATAGCTGGAGATTATAACTCTCAGGGAAACAGGAGAAGGGAAGAGAGTTCCACAGGCGAGAGGTGCGAGACATGAAGCTATTAGAGTAGAAGAGACGGCTACATTTATGAGTTTCGACAGTGAAGGGGTGAGAGCGTGATGCCAGCCTCGTAGGGCGCTTGAACTCATGAAGTTTGGGAACCAGCGAATGCAGTTCCTCGGAGCAATTTCCATGAAAGTATTTGTAGAACATGGCAGCAATATGCCATTCTTTGGTCTAATCTGACTCTTGTAAAGATAAAGCCTGGTAGAAAGAATCACACACTTTTTGGAGCAGTAATGGCATGGTGTGTCTTAGCTGTAAAGGTTTAAACTTGTAGAACTAAAGAACGGAGCTTATCTGAACATTTGACCTGAAAATAGCAATAGTGTAGCAAAATTCTTGCAACACTGTGTCTATGGAAAAGAGGTTGTGGAGTGGAATAATTTTGAACTCTATCAAGGCTAGAATATGAGTACTGAACAGTTATGACCCAAATCTATTTTACCTTTGAACATAATATACTTATAACTGCTGAAAGTAAGGATTGAACCTGAAATGATATTCTTTTATTATTAAGTATCCCACATTGTGATATGGGAAACAAATTTACCATGGCTGATCTAGCAATCAAAGCACTTTCACATGAGTAAATTGCTGTTTCTTTTAATTAAAGCAACATTTTTTAATTTGAAATTATGATAAGACTCAGTCAGTTAGGCGATCTTGTATCTTTCAATACACGACTGAAGCAGCAGAGTTTTTTCCCGCAGTAGGTTGACATTTCTTTCTACAATAGACCACTTGCCATCCAGGGCTATAGAACCTGGTCTGCCCTGCTATTTACCCATAGTTGGTAGGAGAATAAGAGGGTTCATACCTTCCCCAAGGGTATTAGCATGTAAATGAATGTAATGGATTCAAATGGAATTCAAACTCAGCTCTCCAATACCTCAATCCGAGCCACTATCCATTACTCCATCATGCCTTCTCTTTAAGACTAATTACACTGAACAAATAATGCACTGAGTGTGTTGTTTTGTAAAAGATCTTTATGTTCATACAATCTTTTATTTAAATTCCTTGAGGTTTCTCCTATGTATTCCTTGTGGCAATCATTACAAGTGATAGAGTAAATTCTTTCTTCAAGTTTTAGCTTATTGTTATTTTGTTTTGTATCATTTAAGTCCCTTATTGTTTTAGAAGTAATTTTAACAAATTTTATGTTAAGTTTAGATAAAGTACATGTTAATTGTGATGGAGTTGGTAAGTTTAGTAATGCATCTCAATTCATCAGATTTCCTGAAAAGTTTGTTCTTTTATTGTGAAATATTTTATGAACCTTCTGTTTCATGTTGAATATGAAGTGATTAGGGTATTGGATGAGCGTAAAAGTATTTTTAATGCATTTCTCCTTATCATGTAATTATTGAGAGCTACAAGTTCTGAGTGTTTTTTTACATAGAATTTGATAATTATTCCTGGTTTTATTTTGCAGTTATGGTGAGAATAGAAATTTATAAGATGACTTTTTATTGGTAGACCTACAATCAGCACTTAGTTTTAGATCATTATCATTACAGTTTAACATGATATTGAGGAAAGGTAATATGTTGTTTGTTTCTGTTTCATAAGTAAATTCTATCATATGTTCAGCTTTGGTTGGTTGGTTGTTTTTGTTTAGCAGTATATCAACCTTTACAGATTATTAGAAGTTGAAATCTAAATATTTTGTACACAATTTTATTTTTGGAGATAATAATGATTTAGTGATACAAGTCTTACTAATTAACCCATAGCTGGGGAGAAGAGGTGTATTCATACCTTTTCCAAGAGTATTTGTGCCTAAGTGAATATAACAAACCCAACTGGAATTGAAACTCAGCTCTCTGATTACACCACCTGCACATTCAAACCTACAGTATCTGATATTCCCAAGTGATCTACCCTCTAGGTACTGACCAGGCTTGATGCTCCTTAACTTTGGTAATCATACAAGAACCAGTGTTTCAACATGATATGGTTGTAAGCCTAGGTCAGTTGTTCCCAAACTTTTTTCTCTGGACTGCATTTTCAGAATGGAAATTTGCTAGTGCCTCATCAAATTTTATATGATAAAAAGTACATTTAAAAATAAAAGACAGAGAGTTAAAGGGAGATAACCATGTTTTGCAATGCCTGTTTGTAGGAGAGACTTTGTAAATCACAGATATAACAATAGTAATGCCTTAGAACAACACTCAGTCAGATGCCACTAATTCCTATATGTATATTTTTCCTTTACCCGTCATGTGATTTAATTTTTTCAAGATGAGATCAACTGTGCTTGCTCTCTGGCGATCCATGTTCAAACCCAAATGTCAGCAGTGACACTTTATTCCTATATGACACCATAGATTCAAAATCAGAACACTATCATTGATAACTCTCTCCTTCAATTTGCAAACCTTACTTACTAAATTCTTAATACTTGATATAATGCAAAAATATTACAGTGATAAAATCTGTCAATAATTATTTATAACTATTTAGACTGGGACTCATGCATGCAATTACAAGTCATCCATAATAATATTTTAAATTTATAATATTTAAAATTTTTGGTATATGAATTTTTTTAAACTGTTTCTAAATCTTTGATCATCTTTCAATCATTCTGCCACACCTCTTCCACCATATCTATGAAGCACCCAACACCGTTTGGGCCTTGATAAGATTTAACATGATATCGAGGAAAGGTAATGTGTTTTTTGCTTCTATTTCATAAATAAATTCAACTTTAGATTATCTACAAAATCATGTAATATTATTTTGTGAGGATTTATTAATAAAGCATCATCAATATTTTGAAATTGTTTAGGTAAGATTCTTTTTTAAAACACAATGTGATGATTGTGGGATATTGAAAAACAATAATGCTCTTAAATAGAATCCAATAATTATATTGGATATTATTTTGCTGTTATGGTGAGAACAGAAATTTATGAGCTCATTTTTATTAGTAGATCCATAATAGGCACTTAGTTTCAGGTCATCATAAGTATGCTTTAACATGATACTGAGGAAAGGTAATGTTTTATTTGCTTTAATTTTATTTAATGTATTTCAATGTGGCTATCTACAAGATCATGTAATATTATTTTGCGGGGATGTATTAATAAAGCATTATCAATATTTCAGAAATATGTTTAGGTAAGATTCTTCTTAAGAGCACAATGTTGTCAGATTGTAGGATATTGGAAAACAACAATGCTCTTAAATAAAATCCAATAATTATTTTGGATTTCAGTTGGTTGTTACAGGGAGAACAGAATGACCTCATAAATTTCAATTCTTGACTTTTGACTCTGCTCACACACATTTTTGCCTCTTCTATTTCTTCCCAATTATTTTTTTCCTTTTTGTTGAACATCATTTTCAGCTTCCTATGCAGAAGGAGAATTTTTCTTTTAACCTGACAGGTGAAAATGAAGATAATTGCATTGAATGTATGCTGCTATAATTGCCCCAAAGGAACATTTATCCCCATGCAATATTGCATACTCTTAGACTTGTTTTTAGTTGTCTGTAGAAAAATAAATTACCTTTTTCTATTTTATCAAAAACCTATTATATAAGTGTTATATACCGCACATATGAACACTAATGGGTATGTTCCAATCCTCATAAATACATTGGACACCATTGTAAGTGGGGGTAATATGCTGTCTAAGTAGTCCACCACTAGCAGTGGTTTACCAACTTCATGTTGCTGGTGAGTATTATATTTTGTTGATGTTACAAAAATTACCATTTCATTTCCAACC